GAGGGGCGGCCTTTCAGACATTGACATGTTTTTGGGGGACAAGATTGCCCTAAATGTGTTGCATTTAGGGGCTGAAAGTTAATCTAATGCTCCACCATTATCTCACTCAGGTAATTCCAATACCACCCTCAATCTGTGTTTACGCTCATGCACGCAGCCCCCGCATACTCGCACATCCATTCATTCTTCAGCACTTTGAATCTGATTCCCTGGGCTTTCTGCACCCAAACAGGAAATGTGTTTATTCTGCAAGAGGCACAAACTCTCAGCAGGTTGGGAACTATATAAAAAAGAAGTTGTTTTCTTCTTGGCATCAGCAGTTTCTGAGAAACATACTTGAAACTGTGTATTTCAAAAAGTTTTTGCTGGTTATACATAAAATAATCACAATATTCCAACCTATATGCATTTCTATGTCATGTATAAAGAAAACATCTTTACTAAATGCCCGTTAGAGGAATACATAAGTAGTTTAACACATTTTTCTCTTGATAGATTAATTTGCTCCATGTTAACATAGCTACCCAAGTACAGAGTAAAACTTTGAAACCAGACAGACATAAGCTGGCCCATTTTCTTACTTTCCTTTCATTACTTCCATGGCTCATTGTGAAATGTTTTCGGGGGGTCCCTTAAGAGTAGGGAACAGGAAGCGGCCCCCCTGGTATGGCCCTCTCTAGTGAGAGCCCACTGTGTTGTGCTTATTAGCCTGGCCTGGGAGAAGACGTACCTGCCTCGCCTCATTAGGCCGTGGTGGAGTGCGCGCTCAGCCTGCAGAAGAATGGAGCATTAATTAGTATTCTCTGCAGGGGGAACTGCCATTAGCACTTAATTAGCAGTAAGAGTACCATTCAGCAGGACAGCCAGTTAGTGTGTTTTCCCTCTGAGTCATGCTGAAATATTGCTGAAAGACCCTTGTTGTTTGTCTGTGCACGAGTTTTACAGCTGTATGTGTTTTTTTTTTTCTTTTTTTAAAGATGGCACTGCTTGTTACTTACATCTAGAACAGGGGTGTCCAATGTGTGGCGTGGGGGCCCTTTGTGGCCGCCAACTGAAGTTCAAGAAAAATGTAAATTTGTATCCAAATTTAATTTATTATTAATCAGGGCAAAATTATTGCTGGAAAATGCTAAACACAACACAAAACAGACTTTTGTATTAAGTAAAATAATCTTCTTTCAGAGTCTTTTACTGAAAAGCTGACAAGCTGCACCCAAGTCAACTTTTTTAATTTAACAAACTTGGCTAAATGTGGCAAATGTTTTGAAATAAAGTGACCCGCATCCTGTTTTTGTAACGTAGAATGAATTTGATCAGGCAAGCCCAAAAGAATTTGGAAACTAGATGTCTTTTTTTAATACAGCAAACCTTTAAAATCAGCAGCTAACTCTCAAACACACCACTTACCAACACTCCATAGGGTGTATGTATAGTGGCACACAACACTTTTGTTTATCCACTCCATAAAAAATGTGTTTCTAAAAGCATAGTTCACTCATAGAATGAATAACGATAATACAGCCAAAAATATATATCTTTTATATATTAAAATTCAATATGGTGGAAGAAATCAATGCAAATCTCTTGTGAAGATAGAAAGACAATATGGCTACCCTCAACCAGTAGCTCTTTATGCTTAAATTTTAAGTTTGGATTTACAACAAATAAACCCCCCAAAAACCAACAAATCCCACTACTTTATTTGCGTGATTTTATTTTTTTATTTGGTCAGGTTACTTCTGACGATACTATTTTGGCCGATGTAGTTTGGACGTCCCTGAAGTAGAATAAACCAAGAGGAATGGATTCATCCACACCAGTGTCTGCACGCCTCTGTAGGATTTACCTCTGTCTGCTTGTCGCTGTTGACCCACATGAGGTCAAGCGCTGGTTTCTGGTTCCGGTTTGCTAAAAATTGGGCGGTTAGTGAATTCAGGTCAACTTTTCTTGTCGGTCACAGGGAAGTTTCTTTGATCTGCTGAGTAGGCATTCTTCTCTTTCTTTTCTCCGTTCTCTGTCCCACATCGTCACCAGCGAGGAGGACAAGGGAAGCTGTTAACCCACCTCGGTCCACTCCTCGGCCTCCCTGGTACCCCGCTCTTCCTCGCCGCTCGCCCCTTCCTCTAATCCCTGCCCACCCCGACGGCCCCTCCGAGGCTCAGGGTGAGCGCCGGTAAAAGCGCCTTTTCTCTTCCAGCAATCTGAGAGGCGGAGAGCTGTCATTTGCCAATTTGGCCTGAATGGGGCGGACAGTGGATTGAATGTCGTTTTCCCACCAGGCTGCACCATCCAGACCAGCAGGGGAGGGAGGGGGACGCAGAGAGAGGGGTGTAATGCTAGAGTAAAATTAGAGCTTTGATGGCAGCTAATAGTGTGTGATGGGACACGCTGACGTGGACTTCCAGTACAGACGCCACAGGTTCCCCCTGTACCTCTGCCTTGCTGCGTCTGACTCACCTGTAAGATTAGCCCTGCCTCCGCTCTCAGAGCTGTGATTTCACCCTGATCTGTGTAATTACACAGCTCCAACTCCAAGCCTGCCCCTGTCAAAGGGCCAGAGAGGTCCAGTTTCTCTCTCTTCACACACAGTCATGCATGCAAAAACACACTAGAGCGTTTTATAGAGGAGGAAAAGCTTAGAATGTTTTTTTTTTCACTCTTTGTTCCAGTTGCAAGAAGAAACAAAGAAGTTATGCAGATGTTCTGCAGATTAGCCATTAGGCGTTATTTCTCTGCCCCGATTTGAGTTCTGATGTCATGCCTGCTCTCTTTGTTAGTGATTTTTTTTTTAAAGTCTCAATATATTGAGATTTATGTCTGACTCAAAAGGAGAAAAATACTTTTGCTGTACTTTAGGGAGAATGAGCAATGTTTTTAATAAATATATGAATCCAAAATGATCAAAGAAAGCATTTGATTTTCTATTTGTCATTTTCCAAAAGGTTTTTTTGGAAAATGACAAATTGTGTACAAGTTTGTTACAAGTTGTGTACAAGTTTTTTAAATTTGTACACAAGTTCTTGACTTGACTATCTAATAGTTTGTCTAAATAAAACAATTATTTTGAATTTGACGATTTATAACCACAACCCTCAAAGTTTTATTAATGTAAACACATTTTTTATATCACTTTTACCTTTCAGGTTTTGATATAAATGTAATATTAAAATGTGTTTTTTGTTTGTGAATGATTGAATCTACAGATCTTCAGAAACAAATTTTGACTCATAAAAACCACAAACTCTGATGAGGTGGCACAAAAAGGCCACATTGTTGATTTTAAACCATTTTTATAAATAAAAATCAGAAACCATTGCACCAACTCTAGAGCAGGGATGTCAAACTCCAGTCCTCACTTAGGACTGGAGTTAGGACGTTTTGACGTCTTACAAGTCCAACACACCTGAATCAAAGGGCTGAAGAAGTAATTTAATTACTTAACAGAATCAACTTGTGTGTAAATTACCTTTAGTATAAATGCAGCTGTTCTGTAAAAAACTCAGATGTTTGTTAGAAAACATTTCTGAGTAAGTAAATATAATACCATAAAGTTTAAATTTGCAGGGAAATTTGAATTCAGGGTTTAGCTGTAAAATGACCAGGCTTCAAGGATTAAACATTTAACATTCATCATCTCAAAATGACTTCCATGGAAAAAAAACTAACTCTGCACAAGAACACAATGTTCCCATTATGAAACTCTGTGGGATTTACGTAGTTTTAGGGGGGAAGTTTTATATGCAAGTAAAAGAAGATGGAGTGCTTTATAATAAAACATGAAATAAAACATGTCAAAAGAAATCAAATAAACTGAAATTAAGTAAAAGCAAATGTGAAAACAGGAGTTTTGAGCTGCTTTTTAGAGAATCCAATGATCTTAATGCATTGGAATATATTTTCAGAGTGGCAAATGCAAGCTGTAGGGAGATGTTTTAAGTAAATAATTGCAAGAAGAACTCGATACATTGGCAGATTATTTCACTTGGAACAAAGAAAAAATGTCTTGTTATAAATTAAATTAAATTAAGTAAATTCACACATTAATCACTCACATTCTGCTCCTCCCATCCTGCTTTCACTATAAGACACAAGGGTGCATAGAAAGTAACACTGGGACCTGCCTCAGGCCCACCACACACACACACACACACACACACACCCACACACACACACACACACACACACACACACACACACACACACACACACACACACACACACACACACACACACACGTACATCAGATGTATTAATATCTCCCCAGGCACGAGCGGCACTGTGATGCTCTGACATATGTGCAGTTAAAGGCGTCTTAAATGTCCATATCAATCTGCGGCGCTGTCAGCTCAACAATGATGGAAACAGAACACCATCGCCTGCGTCAGGCAGCATCATTCCCATCCATGCAACATTAGAGAGATCGACGGCTCTCTGCAAGACATTCCACTGAATCTTAGCCAACCCAGAGCAAAGCTGGGTGAAAATAAATGCTGGAACTACTGGTTACGTTGTGCTGGCACTAAGATTTACCTCTTACATGCTGAGATTTACTTATGAAGAGCCAAAAACGTAATTTCCTGCTTTAAAATGGATTGGATTGCCTGGAGTTCATTGTTCTGCTCCCTCTTGGTAATGCATATATGCTTGTGACTGTGAAAAGTAATTGTCTTCTTCCTGCTGCACATAAAGCGAAATGCTCCACTTTCCAGGGATGGGAGACGTTTTGTTTTTTTCCGACTCTTTCACACCAACTCTCCCTACCTCAATTTTTTTTTTAATACAATACCTCTCTCTTCTCTCACCCAGTGAGGCAACCCTTTCAAACGGGCAGCTCCAGGTCAGTTTCCTTGCCAAGTTTTGCAGCCTGCCATGTTGTCTATTCTGCTCAGCTATTTAAAAAATGTTGAATATCAACAATGGCTTTCAGTGGTGCATTGTCAACTTTTGTATGAAGCAATCTTGGCTGAAAGAGATGGGTCCCAGAGCAGGGAGAGCTCAGCTGCAGTGTGCACGGCCCAAAGAAGTGACTGCCCAACACTCGCAACGTTTCATATTTCTCCTCTGCGCCTCGGTGATGCCGTTTGAAAGGCCGAGGCTCGACTCTGAGCTTGCCATCTTTCTGTCCATAGAGTCCTGCTTCTGGCCCTTCTGACAGTCGACTATTGAAGGTGGAACCAGCAGCGGAACTGAAAGACAGAAGCAGCAGCAGCCTTGGGACCAGTGAGAGCTCGGTGAGTTTCCTGGATTTTTTTCTGGTCAGAGTGGGAGGAGGTTAGTGGGAAGGAAAGGAGAGAAGAGGGAGGGGGCGTTCAGGAAGACGGCGGCGTTGGGGAGCTTTGTGTTCTCTGAGTTCATGTACTGAATTTGTGAAGTTGTTGCAGTGCTTCACATGTAGAAATAATGTATTTTTCATGCTTGGCCTGTTTATTGTGATCGTGATCAGAAACTGTGCAACTAAACCTAAAGTAAGCCTCGTCACTTACAACCCTTCTGACATTTCAACAATATCCAACCTGACTCCACAGCTTAAGGCTCATCCAGGCTGGATGCATCAGTGACTTTAAGCAGAGCTCCATATCTATGTTTGTACTCTTAAAGAAAAGGATGAAAGCAGGAATGAGAGGCTTGCTTCCAGATAATAGTAGCTTAGGCTCTTTGTCCTGCTGTCAGCCAGGAGAGGAGCAGAGGCTGGAAATCTCCCCATTGCAACCGGCAGCGTCTTGTATGTTTCATTGACATATCAGTCTGTGGGGCAATGAGCCGTTGCTTCTGCACCCCTCGGCACACTTCTGCTCCGTATTTGTCGGGGGCGTCTTTGTGCGAGCGCAAACAGGCGGCACGACAATCTAGCTCCTAGGTGTTGGCGAGAAATAAATTTTGATGTAAGACGAATCTGACACAATGGACTGTTTTAGGGCTGCACAGAAAGGAGGAAGAAATGTTTTGTTAGAGATTCCAATTCTGTTTTTTTCTTATGTTTTAAGTGTTCTGCCAAGAAGGGAAAATATTTAATTTAATTTAGTAGAATTATAAGAACAAATCAAGTTACTAAAATAAGTCTTGGCATACAAAGAAAATTATGACTTTTTTTCCTTAACATTCTCTCCAGGAAAATTGTTTGATTTTCTCTTTGCAATCATGAACTTTGCAAAGCATGATGAGTTTTCTGATTTATCTTTATTTTCAGATACAGTATTTTTTTTTAAAAAAACAACCACTAATAATAATAATAATAATAATAATAATAATATACAGAATTTAGTTAAGTAAAAAAAAAAAAAATTTTATGCAGTGTTGTCCTCTGCCTCACCTCTTTGCGCTCAACCAGAAGCAAGGTGACCAAATTCATCTCAGTCCAGCCCATCCATTATCTTGTCAACACAGCCAGCTTTCCACCTTAGTTTGCTCTCCTCCCAGAAGACTTGCTTTAATGAAACGCGCAGTAATCGCCACACTTATCTCGTCATGCTCAAGGTAATTAATATATTTAGAGGGCGATGGCTAACTCTTAATTAAATTAAGCCGGTTTTAATGAGACCTTGACTGTGACTGAATTTATGACCACTATCTACTTTATCAAGTGCTTGGCATGGAGCAGAGATTAGTCATTTTGTCTCAAATCAGAACTAGATTGCACATTACGTTATTCATGATTTATATATCAATTTATGCTTGTTTGTTTCTTATTTAGGGGTTTAATAAATTACCTCCTATAATATTGCTTCCCAAAGGCTCTCATCCTCTGCAATTAATGCTCAGCAGCTCTGCTGCTGTTACATTTTCATTCTGTAGGAGAATACAGATAACAAACTTGGCGGCATTAATCATATTACAAAATTGGGTGCATTTAATTAATTACAGTTACACTGCAAATTAATTGTGGATTCTAACAATATTATCTTAAACTAATGAAGCCCTGACAAAGGGAGTGTTTCATTTAAAAAAAGGGAAGAAGAAGCTAGATTAGTGGGATCTCAATTATGGCTAAAACAAAAGAGGGCCGCTTGCTCGGGCACGGTGCAAAGCAAAACATGACAATTCAGCACTTTCCCCAAAACAAAAAACTGAGAAAGTTTCCTTTGTTTTAGTAAAAACACTGAACATGGCAACGATTCGGCCGATACATGAGGGAATAATGAGTGTTGTAATTAACTGGCCAGGGGAATAACTGTACCTAAAGTAATCATCAAATAGAGGTGTTGATAATGCCATTCACTTTTCAGGCACTAGACCAGGGCTGGCCAAACATGTAAGCAATCTTTGCAGCTCCTCGCTCCCAAAAGGAGAAACTCGAACTAAACAGGTCGACAAATTTACTAGCTGTGTAGAAAATAAATAAAACCTGTTACAATTGTCATAATTAAAAGGAATTTAGTAATTTCTTCAGCTTGTATCTAAGCTGCAAAACATTTCCTGGACCTTAAAGACGAATTTAAATAAATCAACAAATGATAAAAAGAGTTTGATCTTGCTAAAATTCTGTCTATTATATGGTTGCCATGTTTTATTTTGAATTTAAAAACAAATTTTTTTTCAACATATCTTAATAAAAATTGCATTTCTCATCTGATGAATAACTTCTTCAATACTTTAACTAAATATTTAAATATTATTACATTTTAACTTATTATTTATTGCATTTAGCTGAGTCAAAAAAGTTATTTAAATATGAAAGCGTTTATGGAGAATGTGTGTATTTGTATCTATTTTAATACAAACGTAAAATATGGGTCAGCTGTTTTCAAGCGGATTTCTGCTGTGTGTCATTTAAGACATACAATCAATATGCTTTTTATTTGAGAAACTATAATAGATGCAGGACCACAAAGTCCTAAAATCTATCAAATAGTACACAAAATACAATTTTATTTCTGTTCCCTTTTGTTTAAAACATAAAAAAAGAGCAGAACATTTAAAATATTTTTTTTTTCTCACAAGATGCAGTTTGTTGTAAAAATCTTGGAAGCAAAGTGCCCAGAATAGAGCATCAAGTTCTGGCCAGAGGGACAAACAAGGAAGTCGTGTGGTGCTCAAAAGTGTCTTAACCCAGTGGCTCTGAGGCAAAAACACATTTTCTGGAATTTTCTGCTTAATTTAAGGTGAATTAAAATTAGCTTCTAGTGGACAGGGTCTTATAATTTACTGTAATTTAATGTTTTAGTTTTCATTTAACGCATCATATACCAAATGTTTGAATATGTTTCCCCTAATCTGTAAAGCAAAGAGTCAGTAATCATTGTTTCTATATGACAAAAAATGTCTCCAGTGATTTCCTCTTTTGTGATATAATTTCATTTGGCTTCATTAGCCAATAATCACAGGGGGAAAAAAAAAAAAGCTTTTTGACAATTATGGGAACTGGAGGGTCAGTAAGAATGGATTTTCACCCTGCTGCACATGATTATCTAAAGTGGCCTTGTCGCAGCGATTAACCCCGGGTCTGTGTGTGTGTGATCGACTGTGTTTGAAATGTGCATCCCTAAAATGATAAGCAGCTATGAGCCAAAGGTGATGAGGTGAGAAAACTGTGTTCCCCTCTCGGCTGAGTGAGATAGAGCGCGGCGCTGGGTGGTCACGCCTTGTCTGCTCGCGACAGTGGCGGGTTAAAGAGATTACACTGGGTCTGTGTCAGCGGCCTTGGCCTCACACACAGGAACATAATGAGGAAGGACATGCTTGGCTGCTGTGGGAGGGAAAATAAAAGAAGCTGGAGTTTGAAGCAGCTTTCTTGTGTGTTGTTTCAGATGGGAAGAGGTCGATAAGTAAGACGCTCGCATTCCTCATAGTGGTACAAGGTGAGCGTTTGAGTGCGGGGGATGACACTTCTGGGCCACCACCGCAAACGAAGCACAAATTAATTTCTTACTGCTGAGGGACGAATGCAGTCTGCTCCATTAGTCCTCCAGGCAGATGTGCACACTACACTTAATCTGAAAAAAAAAAAAAATCAATGCATCTGTCTTCTGAGTGTGTGTTTTGCTTTTATGTTTGAAGGTTGGAGTGACAGCTCCTTCTGTTGATGACTGAACCTGCAGTACTTCAGATGGACCAACAGCTGGGGACAATAGCCTTCTTTCCTCAGGCATAAGGTGAATTTATGCATTTTAATCAACTTTATAAGTTCACTTTTCATGTTAGACATTGAAAAAAAAATCTTCATTTTACTACCAGTTATTTAAAAGATGTACAGATTCTGATCCATAGGTAAGGTATCATCAAAAGGTTCATTTATTTCAATAATTCAAAAGAAAAAAATAAGCTTTTATTATTTAGATCATAAGATGCAGAATAATATATTTGTAAATATTTTTTACAACAAATGTTTGAATAATTTGAATATTAAGAAAGACCAATATAAAAAATTTCCTTCATATATAGGAATTTATTGTTACGGCTTATGCATAGACAATAATGCTGATAGGACAGTTGACCAGGAGAAAGTCACTGAAACTCTCTACATAGATAATAAGCTATAAATAGTAATATTTAAAGAAACTGGTCATTCATCTATCAAAACATATTGAAGAAAAGTTGAGTGGAAGAAAAAAATATGGTTAAAATAACCATATTTTAAGCAGCAGAGATAACTGCAGAATTTAGAGCACAAGTTTCAAACTCCAGACCATGAGAGCGAGTGTCTTGCAACTTTTCTGCTTCAACATACCAGAGTCAAATAATGAGGTTTTTAAAAAGCTGGACCCTGTGGAGGGAGAGCCATTGGATTCAGGTGCCTTTGGTGCAGGAATACATCTAAAAGTTGTTGCTTTGAGATCTTTGCTTTAGAGGATTTTGAAGTAAGTCCAATTCAAGAGTTTGATCAAATATCAGAACTGCAATATCCACCACAGACAGATGTACTGTATCAATGCACTAATTCATGCAAAAGGAGCCTCAACCAAGTGTAGAATGGTTGTACTCTATAGTAAATGGAAACACTTTTCACTTGGTCAACATTTTGTCATTAAATGTCCATTTTATTGGTCTGATATCTTAATTCCCAAAAATGAACAGTTTCTATTGCATGATCACCATAAAGGAAATAAATTCTTGAAATATAAGAGATTGGTGAAAAAGTAACTTTGAATAATTAATTTATAGAATACATGTTTTATATATTTTTTAATTAAGTCACTAAATTAAATTAAATTTTGATGGTTTTCTGATTTATTACTGTCTTGTAATTCAGCATTATAATAAAGTCATTTATTAAGTACTTGCATAGATAATGAAACAGAGACTGAAAAAGTTATGTAATTTTCTACATATCTAATGTGTATTTATTTATACATGTGAATAAAATTAATTTTGAAGCATTGATAATATTGTAGTTATGTTTTGTAATAATAAGATTTATTTAACCAGATAAAAAAAAAAACTCACTGAGATATAAAATCTATTTTTCAAGAGGGACCTGGCAAAGATAGCAGCACTGTTTACAAATTTCAACTTTTACATTCAATCAGAAAATCAGTACTCACAAAATCTAACCCAGTTTAATATTTATGCATGCAAAATGTAGATTAAAACTATCTTAATCTCAATTGATAAAAAAAATAAATACTTGTCAGGTCAGAATAATTCATTTAAGTTAAATCTGTTCTACTGGTTTAAGTATTTTAGATTATGAACTAAAATTGATCACATAAGATCCCTTAAAATAAGGAAATCTATCTTTAAAAGTGAATAGCTGTGAATCAGATGCCTTTTTCCTTCAGTATCATTAAAAAGCCACAATGCATTGGCACATTTTCTTACACTGTTTACACAAAGCACAACACAAGGGAATGCCTACTTCCCACTGGCACAGACGATCAAGCAACAGAAAACTCATCCAGGGTGAATCTGACACGTAACTTTTCTTTCAGTGTTCGACATACAAAAGCTACAAAAAGCTGATCAAACCAAAGTATTAGGACAAAAGCAGTCACCCAAAGCATTATATAATTTTTTAAATCTCAGATTTCAGATGTGACATTTAAAATAAATTTTTACAGACCCCTCACCTGGTGTTTCACGGCTCCCACTGGGGTCTCAACCCCAAAGTTTGGACCCATTTTCCTAGAAGATCTTAAAAATATTTGGCCAGATATAATGAAGCCACATTTTGTGTTCATTGATATTTAACTGGATGAGATGATACAAAAAGGAGCACACTTGATCAAGACATTAAAAATTAAATCTTTATGGAATAATTATTATCCTCTAATTAAAGACACAAACAGTTTGATAAATGCTTTGACTTTTAAAGCTTTGATGATATAAAATAGAATAATTTACTCCAGATCTGACAATAAGTACCTGTTGACTTTATCACATCATCAATGTCTTAATTTCCAAGAACATCATCCGGGTATTCTACCTGCTGCAGAAATCAAAACTCATAGAGGGGATATTACACGTGGTTGGGAGCAGAGTTAAAATGCTCAGCGATTCTGCGTTACAGATTACAGCATTAAACATCATGAACATTAAAATGCATCATTTTTATATGACCAACTGCAGCTCTTACTGGTCAGATGAGTCCAATTATCATTAGGAATACCAGCGCAGCTTTGTGCGACAAAGAGACGATAAGACCAACACTTTTATTCCTTTAAATGACCCGTGAATATTATTTTTACCTGAGCTGAACTGGGAGGACGCAGCTATTCACGCCGCACAAAGGGAACAGCAGACCGTGCGTAAATTGCATCTTCATTTGCATTCCCGCCCCCCTCACCTCAAAAAAAAAAAATCATGCAAATCTTAATGAGACAGTCTCCATTGTGACTGTAATTGAAAAGCCATTCTTTGTTAATTACTGTTTCTCAAAGGGGCTTCGTCCGCCGGTCACCGAGCTGAAAACAAAACACGAAAAAAGTTACTGATTCCAGACACACAAAAATGTAGAAAACTATGATTATTGTCGATGTGAAAATTGGCTAATATTTAGAGTGTGTGCGAGGTTATTTTATTGTAATATATGTTAATAAAACGTGCAACATATAAATAAAACCTCCAAATAAACAAAAGCAAAAAATTACAGATATTTAATGTATTTTTAAGAGATGATTTTCGAGCATAAAAAGTCTAAAATAATGAATAACTTTGTTGTCAAGTTGCAAATAAGTTAAAATAATTGATAGTAAATGTGTATTACTTAAATGTGTATTTAATAACATAGGCTACTAACTAACCTTAAAAAACATATATTTGCGACTGATTTACTTTAGGGTAAAGTGTTGATTTTACGCTTTGTGCGCTCGATTTTGAATTTGAAAAAAAAAAAGAGGAAATACAAGTTTTAACCAGGACTGAGGTTTAAGTCAAGACTTCCACACATTTCCCAACACTGAGCAGGAGAGACCTGAGAGACCTGAGGGACCCCTGAGGGCTGTCAGGGCTTGTTGAGCCTGAATCGGAGCAGACTGTGCTGGTGGTCCCTCCGTTCCTTAATTAGGAAATTAGCTGCACAGAGGGCCTCATTATCAAACTCCGGGTTACTCCTGACTGGGTCTCTCTCTCTCTCTCTCTCTCTCTCTCTCTCTCTCTCTCTCTCTCTCTCTCTCTCTTTGCTACCGGTCAATTTCCATAAGGAGATTACAAGCGGATCAGTATTGAGATTTGCGCAGATAAACAAATAACCGGTCCCTGAGAATTAGATGGCGACTAATTGGACGTTAGTTTTATTGCTCCCGCGCTGTTTGTCACGCCCCATTGAACGGGAAAATGGGATCCGTGCGGTGATGTCTCTTTTTGAGCGGATTTACGACTATGACTCAAGACGAATAAAGTGGGATCTATCCCCACAATTTGGCAACAGAATCATTTTTCCCTTTTTTTTTTTTTTTTTTTTTTTTTTTTTTTTTTTTGCAAAACCATTGGTGCATGATTCTGATTTAGTTTTGTCTTATTTCAGTAGATCTTGCAAAATTGTTTAACGAGATTTAATTTCACAATTTAGGCAGAACAGAAAATGAACTTTTGCGTGTTTTTGTTTGTTAATGAAAATGAAATCGATTTCAGTTTGAGTCAGGGAGGCGCCTGGGCTTTAGTCTTTGTTTGATCACAATTTAAAAAAAGAAACAAAAGCAAAACCGTGCATTTAATTTGCTCTATGCGCATTCCCCGTGCCGCCTGGCCGCGGAGGGCCCAACAGTAGCTGCATTTTGGTCTGGAAAACCCCCAGGAGGCGATTTCACCCGAAACTCAATCTGCAGAAGCGCTCCCGCAGATACTCAGGTGTCAATAAGTTCACTCTCGATGGTCGATGGTTCATTAGCAGGTGTGAAATGTTCGCACTTTAGTTTGGATTCAGTGGCTGAGGGTCGTTTGTAAAGGCGACACGCATGCAAATAAAGAAGCGATAAGGGAGGGCTCTCTGCGCTGATTGTTGTGTGGCAAAACAAGACTGCAAACAGCAGTTCACAAGGTTTAAACTAAACTTTTCCTCATGGGACCAAAAAAGAAAGAGCCCTTCTCATCCACAAGAGGTCGTTCATGTATTAAAGTTCCAAAAAAAGGTCCCTGAACGCAGCACAGTCATGCCAGTGCGAATTAACATTCATTTAATCTATATTTCATGAAAAGATTTTCTATTTAAATAGTGGAACTGAATAAAAAGTGACTTTCGTGAATGAAACTTTAAAATCATTATACATGCTTTAAAAAAAAGTTAGATAATTTTATCCTCACGAAGCTTGAATATGTTGACAGAAAATTATACATGATCCAAAGCAAAATCAACAAAAAACAAAACAAACAAAACCAAAAAATAGCACAACTCTGATCTAAAACATTGAAAAAGGCTCGTTTTAAACATTCCAGATCAACTCAATATGGTGTCTAAATTTAATGAGTAAATTTAATTTAAATTAGTCTAAAACAAAATAAATATGAATCCATTGAAACTATTGTTGAAATAAATAAATGGACCTGATTGAATTTCAGAAAGAAATTTTTAATTGGGTAAAACATTTAAAATATTTATTTGAATTCAGTTTGTAGACTTAATATTATTTTCTCGCTTTTCTTTTGACTTTTATATCATTTTATTATTAATTTAAACCTTCAACAAATTTATCCCAGTAGGGCTAAAATTTCCAATTCCAAACTTTATTTATATTTAAATCACCACAAATTTACTCTTCGTTTCATAACACTAATCTTCAGAAATAAAAACTACAACGACTAATAATGCTGCCCTAAATAAAGATTTCCACATCATTATTTTCTCTAGAATAAAACCAAAATGAACACGAAAACAAATCCCTTCATTTCCCCCTCTGCATTCTCTATCCTCAGCCTCTAAATGCTGAAATTTCTGCGCTCTTGTTGCTGAAGTGCGCTCCAGTTTTAAATCTTCTCCTCCTTCCTCCTCCTCCAACCCAAAACGCACGGATCCGCTCTCCGGTTGGAGCTGCGCGCTGATTGGTCCGCTGCCTCTTATTATCAGCCAGTCAAGCCACATCACATGGTTCGGCCTCATGGGCCTATTAACACACGAGCTTGGAGAACAAGTTTGCAGACTTGTGTTTGAGAGGCGAGAGGAACGGAGCTGCTCTGAGCGGACACAAACCAGAGACGCACCTGCACACACATTCGTCGCTTCAGGCAGAACTTTTTGGCGTCTCTTTGACTTTTCTTTGGCGAGGGTTTGTGAACTTTTAATCCATTTTTTTTCCATGTGCGTGTGAGTGATCGTTAAAAGTCGCCTGAATGTATAACATGATGGAAACCGAGATCAAGACCCCGCTCCCGCAGTCCAACTCGGGCTCGGCGCCGGGCGCAAAGAACAACAGCGCCAGCGACCAGGAGCGGGTGAAGCGGCCGATGAACGCCTTCATGGTCTGGTCCAGGGGTCAGCGGAGGAAGATGGCTCAAGAAAACCCCAAAATGCACAACTCTGAAATCAGCAAGCGGCTCGGTGCTGACTGGAAACTTCTGACTGACTCCGAAAAAAGGCCGTTCATTGACGAGGCCAAGCGTCTACGGGCGATGCACATGAAGGAGCACCCGGATTATAAATACCGGCCCCGCAGGAAGACCAAGACCTTGCTCAAGAAAGACAAGTATTCTCTGCCCGGAGGACTGCTGGCGCCTGGATCCAACGCCGTCAACAACTCGGTGTCGGTGGGCCAGCGGATGGACGGTTACGCGCACATGAACGGCTGGACAAACAGCGCGTACTCCCTGATGCAGGACCAGCTGGCCTACCCTCAGCATCACAGCATGAACAGCCCCCAGATCCAGCAGATGCACCGGTACGAGATGGCCGGCCTTCAGTACCCGATGATGTCCTCGGCGCAGACCTACATGAACGCGGCGTCCACCTACAGCATGTCCCCGGCGTACACGCAACAGACCACCAGCGCCATGGGGCTGAGCTCCATGGCGTCCGTGTGTAAGACGGAGCCGAGCTCGCCGCCGCCGGCCATCACGTCCCACTCTCAGCGGGCGTGCTTGGGGGACCTGAGGGACATGATCAGCATGTACCTGCCCCCCGGCGGGGACAGCGCGGAGCATTCCTCCCTGCAGAGCAGCCGGTTGCACAGCGTCCATCCACACTATCAGACCGCAGGGACTGGCGTCAACGGGACGCTACCTCTCACCCACATCTGAATGATAAATAGTAAGAATAATAATGGTAAAAAAAGACTTTTAAAAAATGTACTTCGGATACTTGAACTTCTTTTGATTGCTGCAGAAAGAACGTTCAGCAGAATCGTTCAAGAACAGTTTTATCTGAAAATCCTGTCCGTTTGATGAACTTTAAATGGACCCAAACTGAACGCTGAGCCCAGCTCCGCCGAGGCTTTTCATCACAAGTAGAAGCAATCAATCTGTGTAGAAGAATTGGACTTCTATATTTTAAATAAATGCCATATTTTCTCTCTTTGAAAAGGCATGTGGCCTCGTGTAGGGGCTGGCGTATTTCAGAAAAAAAAAGCTGGATGGACAGTCTGTTCATAAATGTTTACACTTAATTTGTAGAATGTCAGTCGTCTCCACTGTGTTCACAACCTTCATAATCCCTTTCTGTTTTTATTTTTATTTCCTTCCCAACATGAACTAGGTTTAAATAAAAGACTGTGCCGGTCGCAAACGCAAGTTTTATTTATAGAAAGATTTCTGTTTTTCCTTCTCTAGCTTGTGCAGCCCGTGAAACTATTCAAGAACTTTTTTTTTTTTTTGAATTTTTGTTTTTTGTAAATTTGTTTTGTTCAGTGATGGGTTTTTTTTTTTTTGACATGTGTCATGTTTACCCATTTATCCTGAACGAAAAAGGTTTATTTAAACTGACGTTTCTACATATTTTAAGACCATCCTCTATTCTTAAAAGCTGAATAAATTTTTACGAAACGTAATTTTTTGACTCAGTGTGTTGTGTGCAAAATAAGGAGAAGTTTAAAATTGAATTAACTGGCTTTATAACAAATACGAATAGATATAAAAATGCTGTTGTGTTTAAATATTATATATTTTTAAGTGTACATAAACTAAACATATTAAAGGGCAATCTCACACAATTTATTGTTAAAAATCTGTAGAGTTCACAATTATAACAAATATGACATAAAAAGTGGAGCAAATAATTTGGTTTTCCAAAATGAGAAAGTTTTATAATTTTTTTAAAAGAAAAATACTAATTTAACTCTTTGTTGTTGTTGTTTTTTTATTTCTAAAAACTGAAAAAAGTTATTTATTCACAGTACTTCATTCACAAGCTACAGATCCTTCATCTTTATTAAAATTTTATTTTCCAAAAAGCTGCTGCTGTTAACAACTTTTGCTTCTCCTCAAATTTAACCATTTTTCAGTCAAAATGCAGCGTCTGTCAGACACAAAAGCTGACCTTTAGTGCTTTATTGTGCACTGATTGGCCCTCTAGAGCTATTAGAAAGTTATTTTAATATTTTAAGAGAAATATATATAATCATTTGAGATACAGAAAATAAAAACAAGTGTCTTCAGTCTTCTAATATAAAGCATTGCAGTAGAAATAGTTTTGAAAAGTTTCTGCAATTTATCTCAGCTACACTACAATGAAGACACCTTTTAGGTATTTGTACAGCATAAAATATTTTGATGAAAAAAGTTAATTATCATGCAGAATTATTAATTATAAGTTTAATACATGAATAAGAGGAACATTCCATAAAACTAGGTATGGCTGTAACATCCTGTAATTTATGCTTAATTTAGTTTAATTATCAGAGTGCTCTAAGCTTGCACAGCATCTATAACTATAGCCACACTCTTTGCTGCTGTGCTACTATTATACACAGGTGCATGGAAGAATGGGCCAGCCTGCTGTTGGAGTGTACCTAAGGATAAATAATCTGCCATTACAAAGAGGGCCGAAACAGCATGGCCCTGCCGGCCTTCCCACACTCCCTGCAGAACTGGATCCATATAGCTCAGTGCAGCAGCCCGGATTAGACCCCACGTACCTTTGTGGAGGGAAAGATTATCCAGACCTCCCTGCATTCACTGACAGGGTTTAAGTCACTCTAGCGTGCCAGCAGCCACCCGTCACCTAATCGCACTCTCAAACTCCCTTTTTTTGTTGCTGAAATTAAGCAGCTTTTCTGCCGCTGCTCCTCAGAAGTGTGTGGACAGAGCAAAGGTTAGTGGTCAGTTATCAAACTTCAGGAAAGCAATCCACTCTACACTGAGACATTGGGGATCAATTTAGGATAAAAGTTGAAGTTTCTGTTTGAAATGTGCAGAGAAATCCTGTTTCCCTCCAACACTAGATTAGGCGTTAAAGATGATGTTTAGGGGTAAAGTGTGAATATGTATGGATTGTGTTTGAATATTCTGGCAGCTAGTTGATCTGAATGTGGCTTAAAAGCACCCCATCCCTCATTCTCCCACATGCAGAGTGCCCAGAGGGCCTCTCTCCCCTGTCCTGTGGAGCTCTGTGCCCACTCAGCAAGTGCAGGCATATCCCACTTCCATCTGCCTATGACCTCACAGCCCCTGTTTGTTTAACCCCCTCTCCAAAAACTAACCTAATTATAGCCCTGTAGTACACGGATTCAGGAGATTCCCAGCGGATTTTACCACTATGTGTCTACCTGTCACACGAAGGGCTCTCGCCATGGGCCACGTTGATCAGTCAGCCCTGTTTTTCACACTCTCTCCTCAAATTATGTCAGAACATGTCCCGCCAGTTGCACATCTTGTGCGAGTACATAGGGGGGTGCGGGGGTGGGGGTGGTAAAAGCACAAGAAGTGTGCGCCAAGTGTCCCAGTTGACGTCAGTGTGATGAATGGAAAAACTCATTACACAAATCTGGCTGACGTTTCTGACATTACTTATTCACCTGCACCGACCGGCTGGGCAACTCTGTAGCCAGTGCACGCCTTCCACCCTCAAACCTTCGATTTAATCGCAGTCTGCGATCTAGCAACTCCCCTGATGCGCAGATCAGAAATTGGTGTGGTTTGGGTGTAACGGATGAACGCCTCACTGCGGGTCAGGATTCCTGTGATGGATTCAGATTGCAGTGGAGTTTTTTTTTTTGGCTGGTATCCTTGAATATGGGAGGGCCTGTCCATAACCTGTTTGAGGTTCTTGGATTGACAGCAGAGTGGTGTGTGAGTGGACAAGGCTGTTGAGGTACGGGGGTTGGGGACGGGGGTTAATCTCCCTGAAATAGGGCAGATGTTGTTAACGAGCTCCTCTCAGGTCGACTCCCTGCGTGGGAAAATGGCATCAAATCCTCCTGGGGTCAGGGCTTTTGGGCTGACCCACTAAGAACCATCCCTCTTCACCGCACCGTCCTCTCCATCGCTCTTCATTCACTGGCAGCACTCAGCAGAGACACTAGAAAAATCACATCTGACCGTCTTTGTAGCTCTAAGAACATCTGAGATTCAGGTCCTTGTCTGAACCTATGTAGGCACCCATGAGGCTTGTTGCGTGATGTTAATGTCTCATTAATGATAACTGTGGATAGATCAGAGTCACTGACACAACCACAAAGAATGTTGAGTGGGAAATGCTTCAAAGACAAGCATGCCGCTCTTCAAGAAAACGCATCCGCCCAGCTGCAAGCTACTTGTTCTTGTCTCAGTAGAAAGTGAAATAGTTGGATAAAAGCCTTGCAGGCGCTGAAGACTAAACTAAAGTTAATGTATGCAGAGAGACAAATAAAATTAACTAACTACTAAAACAACAGGCTCTTCACACTCAGTGTTCAATTTAACAATAGATTCACTTTTCCACACTGACAATAAAAGCAAGAATGTGGGAGACAAAAAAACTCAAAAATGTTTCTTAAACTTGTTATTTTTTCAAACTTTGCAATGCTAAAAAGTTTAAAAGTCATCAAAACATTCAAATTCTTGAGTTAGACCTTAAAGTTTTGGTTGGAACTGATTGAACTAAAGCAAGAAAAAACCTCTGAAGAGCTGCAGGCTGACCTGGAGCAATTTGGAGTGGTGGTTTCAGGCTGAGCCACACAATTCCCTCTGAAACCAGCAGGTTTCAGCGGGCAAAGATCAAGGAGGACAGCTACTGAAGGCTCAGAAAGAAAGGCACAAACATGTAGGACTCATATTTGATGAGCTTTAATACACTACAAAACTGTTTCTCAAGGATAATGTTTGATAAACCTAATAAACGGAAGTATTGTTTTTAATTTCTTAAAATGAAAACAGTTTGCTAGTTAAATAACTTGCTAAAGTAGTAAACAACTACTAAACTAAAAATATTCTTCCAGATGTTTTAATGTGCATTTCCATCGTGGAGAAGTAGGACTCTGATATTAATGTCTGTATTGGTTACTCTACAAAACAGCGACACAATAACAAAGTGTCTTCAGTCAAACACTTCAGATTCGTTGCAATGCAGATTCTTTGAGGTGTTAAATAAATTATAGCAACATTAATTTCCCTTTGCGAGTGATAACTGAATATGTACTGATATTTATAAAACCATTTGATAAGTTAAAATATTATTTAAAAGTTTTTTTATTTCTCTAGTGTATCACTAAGTTGAACACATAATTGATCACCCACAGATGGATATTTGAAAGCCTGTATTTCTGTTAATTATGATGATTTTCCGCTTACAGGTAATGGAAACATGACATTTCAAATTAAAATATTACATCAGACTATTAAAAAATATTTTCAATACAAAAATATAGCCCGAATGAAAAGAATGTTTAATTCCTGCAAATTAAAGTTATAAATTGTGTTGCTCTTAAAATCCGAAATGAATCAGGTTATAGTTCACGGTAACAAAATGTCAGAACGTTAAATTAATCCTTTTGGAAGTTATTTCAGATTTTTATCAAATGTTAAACTGTAGTGAGAAAAATTATGACACCACATTTTCAATTTAATTAAAACTTCAAAATAACCCTCGAACAATGACACAAACTAAACACTTTCAAGGAACTATGAAGTAATCTTTATTTTAATGTAACATTTGGTTTAAATGATGGCTATTTTGTTGTTCGACCCATGTACAGACTGAACATGCTGCATTCAACTTGGCTATGATGTGGCTTCTCCTCATCAATCACGCCCAGAATGGGCACGTCTATGGTTTATTCCGAGTCAGCAGTGCCTGCCTTCGGGTTTATCCCAGCTCAGCTTTTAATGCAAAGGTCATCCATTAAGGTGTTTGACTCTGAAGGCGTGTTTACTTTGCCACAGCAGGTGTGTGTGAATATGAGACTTGTCAAATATGAGTCAGGATTACCGTGGCTTTTGTCCCAAATAGAGCAAATACAAATTGCACGAACGACTTGAAACAGGACGAATGTGATTTATTTTTTCTTTCTTTCTCTGGTTCCTCTGACATTTTCTTCGGTTAGAGATCATTGAGCTTTTCTTGAACCTGTTTTTGCTTGTAATTGTGGTTGCAGAAAACCACAAAAGCGCACGCATTGGTAGTTCGCAGCAGGATTAAGCGACTTCTTTGCGAGTAAGTTGTGATGACAAATAGATGGAAACATTTGGTTTTGATGTGAAACCGATTGACTCACTGTAGTGTGAAACCTCTATCTGCTGCAGATGGTCTTTTTCTGCACTGCATGTTTGTCTATGAACACTGGAGCATGTAGAGCTGCTTGAAATTTGCTAAGATATAGATTTTTATTTTACCCTCCCAGGGTGTCCTGTAAAAATTGGGCCAAGTGTATGTGAGCTGGTGTATGTGCTGTTCTTTAGGCCTTATGAGGAGTGTATGGGACCTTTGTTAGACAATGCAGAGCTGAGGGGGGCCAAGACTTAGGGGGGCTGCAAGAGGGAAGATTAGGCCTCTCATCTAGGCCACAGATATTGATTAGTGTATGCTGAGGACAGTGAAAGGGAACACGGATTGACAGATAAACAATGGCCATGTGTGGTGACCGTAGTCCATCAGAAACCCTCTGATCACATCTTACTGTTCATTCTGCAACACGTACCTACATCTGATGCCAGTTTAATGAAAATACGCTTTGTGACTTGAGAAAAAAAAGTTTGAGTCTGCGTTTGAATCTGAGAGAAGATTAATGCTTTTGGCGAAGGTTGAGGCACTTTTTTGAACTTTTGCCTGAATGCGTGTGTAGGCGTGTGCGCGTGCGTGTGTGTGTGTTTTTTGGGGATCGTATCCCTGGGAACGTGGGGGGAGGTGGAAGACGCTCGGCTACGGGTCAGTCGTGACTGACTCTGTCACTTATTGATTAGTTGCCATGGAGAGTTAGTCGGGCCATCTCTCTTGGAGGTGTGTCCCCAAGGGCCAGCGGCGGTGTCCAGATGAGCCTGTGGAGGCTTTGTACACTGGGGGTTCAGTGTGTGTGTGTGTATTATAAACTCACTAATTCTCATTCACAGTTCCTTAATTTTCCTCCATATTGTGACCTCATATTTTTATTAATACACTGATTTTGCATCCTGTTTCTACCATTCTGTGTTGCAAAATCTCAGAGAGAAAAAGTGTTTCTACACACACTCACACGCACACACACATCTCCTCCCAGGGGATCTGCAATAAAGAGGATTGTAAACAAATTGTCCAAACTTATTGAGCTGTGAAATCCACCTCATATCCCCTGGATTTGCCTGTTCCTGTGATCCCCAGTCATCTCTGTTTTTGTGCTTTCAAGGTTTACGAAGAAAGAGGGAGATGGACGGAGAGGACGTCTTGGAGCCAGCAATCCACCTGCAGTAGCTTACGACTCTGACTGCACAGCAGGAGGAGAAAACGATGGTGCTGAACTTCACACCTAACATTCAGATTGAAAACAAGACAGGTAGAGAACAAGTTAAAAGACAAATTGAACTGTCAAAGATAAGGAGGCTCAAGCAAGATAGTGTTATTAATGGATAATTGTAATCATTCTCTTCCTGTATTATTTCTCATAACTTTAGCTAAGATTTCTAAAATTAAAATCACTTAATTTATAATGGAAAACCATGGAAATGGCAACAGATCAAAAAGATTTTAACATTCTCTTTCTTCAATGATGGCAAAACGGATTTAAACAGTAACAAAAATCTCAAAGTTCAGATTTTGATCCTGATCCCAAATGCTGCTATTGCAACAAGACTCTTCACTAGTTATTACAGCATTGCATTGACGCAAATTAAAACAAATTAATTAGAACTCTGTTAAGGAAAAAGCAGAACAACATTTTATTTAAGTTAAATCCACACCTAGTGCATTTTTATTTGCAAGAATTACAAACAAGATGCTTAAAACCAGAAATTAGCCAAAAACGGATTGTTCAAAATTAAAGGAATGGATCAACATAATTGGATAAATCTGTTATGGAGAAAAACATTTTTAGCCTTAAAACCAAAGAGGGAGAATCTGAGCACATCTGGAGAAAAATGATGCTGTGTATTAATAAGGATTTATTTATTTATTAAGAAGTGGAAGAGCTTCTTTCCCTGTTTGTATGCCTACATGGGTTTTTTATTTACATTTGTGAGTATTGTCAGCTCCTTTAAAAAGACATAAAATAACAATAATAACTCACAGAAAACATGTAATACACCAAATAATCAATAGGTTCTATCAAAACCTTGAGGAAGCAAGTTGATGTCAGCCTAGCATGACTGCAGAAAAATCATCTCCATGTGTAAGAAATTTGCATTTACTGAAGACTTTTTGTTGCCCTTTTATGAGTCAGATAGTTCTTCAGAGTTAATTGATATATGTTTTAAATGAAGCGTCGTTAGAAGGGTATAGCAGTTTTTAAAACTCATTTGATCCCCTGTTAGAGTCCAGAACCTCATTGGTTACTGTCGAACACACCAAACAAAAGCATTATATTTTCCCAAAGAGGATTATTGAATCAGTTAGGTAAAACACAGCCTCACAATTAAAGACCATGCATCATTAATTAAATAGTTTAAATCTAAAGCTGACATTGAAACAGTTTTTATTTGATTGAGTTGATACTTTTTTACACGCAACATGTCATGTTTGAATCTGACGTCTATGATTCTTTAGGAAAGTTTGTGTTTTCTTAGAAGAGACGGAAACAGGAAACAAAATGTAACTCTCATTATTCTGTCTAGAAGTCATTACATTAAATGCCCTGCAGAAACCTCTGGTGAAAATCTTCCTCTGAGTTGTGATACTTCACATATGTGGATATTGTTTGTAGGTCAGAGCATCTTTTAGAGAATTTCTGCCATTTGTGTTTTTTTAAAAAGCATGTTGAAAAAAGACAACAAATGCATGTCCATAAACACTGTGATGCTTAGGATAAAAGTATAACTGAAGTTCAGGTGATCATTATTTATTGTGCTAAAATTATCCATGAAACAATTTTGACATTACATTTTTATTGGAGTATTGTTCTCTGTATTAGACTTTCAACTGGCCGGCTTAGATTCTTGTAAAATTAACCCTCATTAAGCTTTTGTGTAACGAAAAAAGAGAAGGTTATTGTCACAATGAATTAACTGCATGCAAAAAGTCTTATTTCTTTTGCTATGTGAGATTTAAAGAGTGATGAGAGATTTGCTCATTACTGTTTTTCTAAACCTTGAATCTTATCCAGAAACCTGATTTGGACCTTTGAACAGGAAGTTTGACAACCTTTGGTATTTATGTAAAAACAGTTAAATCAAGCTGTTAACATTGTTCCCAAATGAAGTTTTTGAATGCTTGCAAAAGTGCAAAACCTATTTCCAGGTACAAAAACTCTCCTGCAACTTAGAGTAACGAAATTGTGTGATGAAATGGTTAATTTCTAAGACGTTGAGGAAGAATTATTGCAATCTACCTCCTATTTAAACAAAATATCCCAATACAATGACAGTATAGCATAACTTCTTCACAGTAAATCAAAGTTTGAAGAGTTCAAAATTCTTTAAACCTTCACCTCCTTTTCAAGGATATGCGCACAAACTTCTTATGCCTGAAACTTGACGACGCCCCTCATCCCTCCTCGATATCACACCTTGGGTGCATAAACATGCCTGAGGTCCACACATCACTCCACCCCGGGGGGCCTGCATGGCTTTAGTGCCGCACTGTGACACCAATCAGGGGAGATGGCGGGCTCCTTTGTCATGCAAACACTACTTGCTTCTTGTCTTATTCAAATGTCTGCCCTCTCTTTTTCTCCTCTCTGTCGGCCTCTCATCCCCTCCACCACCTCTCCCAACTTCAGCCCCTCTCTCTCCTCTCTCTGCCTCGCTCTTCTTCTCAAGTCCAAGTAAATCCTCTCGGAGAGAAGAGAAGGAGCCTCCGGGCCTGAGGCTGCTGAGGAAGGCCTCTCCCTCTTGGGGGTCAGCCTGTGCCTCAGTGCATGGGGCTGTTTCCAGTCTTATTTCATATTCAAATGTTACAATCAGGCCTCTGACCCACAGGGGGCTCTTTATGGTTGCGGCTCCAGGTCTCGGGGTCAAGATGGTGATTTAATAGCTCAGGCAGAGGTAAAGAGTGGGGGAGCAAACTGATTTAGGGGATGAATGAGTAATGAAAAAGCATTTTTCCTAAGTTGTCATGTAAATTTCAGTCCTTATTCAATATGAGGCTCTTGCCACACAAGAGATCTTCCTCTCTGGCTTTCTAGTGGACTTCAGCCACTCAGAATTAAGAAAGTCCATTTTCTGCTTTCGCTCTTGACTTGTGCTTGGTGTAAACAGTAGCTGCTGGGGAGTCGGAGGAGTCTTAGGATGGAAATAAAGGAGACGTTAAAGAGTCATCATGTTAGTATGGTGCCACTGTGTCTCAGATGTCCTAGTACTCTTGAGTGGCCTGTTATTCCTGTCCCCCAGGGTGTGTTCCCAGCTCTGAAGCTCGAGTAACATAGGCAGGTTTGAGTGTTTGTGTATGTATGACAGAGAACCAGCTGGATTGGATGCACTCTGCTCTACTATTCATGCAAAGAGAGGGATTTTTTTTTAGTCAACAGGTGATGGGAAAATTGAGATGCACAAAGATGTACCATGCAATATCATCACTGTCCTAAGCTGAAGGCCTAAGTCATTTTTTTCTTTTCAAAAGAGATTTAGGCAAAACAACAACAACAAAAAAACATTTGGCAAATAATTTTTTAAGCCAATTTTTTTGTCTTAGGATCCATTGTCCTGATTTAGCTGGATGAAAACAAACTTAATTTCATCAGAGCAAAAGTTTAATTGTAAAGTTGCTGCTATTTACTTTCTAAAAATTAGACAAGGATTGAAATTACAGCAAAAACAAAATAAATACTGTGAGAAATGCACCTATTAACTTTTGACTTTCCTGACTTTTGTCCATCTGCATTCTTCTGCTAAAGTTTAATTTTGACTTTCCTGACTTTTGTCCATCTGCATTCTTCTGCTAAAGTTTAAGTTTGCATAGAGAAAACAAGACTCAGAAGGATGTAATTGTGCAAAGGTTATCTATCAGCAGAAGGGTCACATTATTTATATTCCATTGGCACAATGAAAACTGCCATTAAAAACTGGAGAAGCTGTCGGACAGAAGGGACAACGGCTCACCCAAACTATTGAAAAGACAAGATAGACTTGAGTCAGGAAGGCCGCCAAGAGGTCAGCAGCAGCAGCCCTGTAGCGGTGGGAATTCCCAACAAGTAAGTTTTGTGCTCTGATGTTAATCACATAATGATTCATACCACTGGCAGGTGTATATTCAAAATTATTTTTGTTCAACACCGATGTCTGTCTCTGATAAGAAATGAGACGGGCAATGCTCAAAAGGTAAAACAATCCGAAGGTGCGTCAATTTTGCAGAAAAAAAAATTGACGTCTGTGAAAAATTATTTATTCTTTTCTCATTGATCAATGAAACATTTTCACTTCTTTTTAAGTGCTGACCAAAAATTTTCACTGGTATTCTGAGAATTTATGCCTGGTGATAACGTTCACCCACGTGATGTTGGAAGGCCTCTTTGCCATTACCCTAATATTTAAAACACTCCACAGATGATCTTTTAGCGCTCAGGACACTAACTGCATCACACAAAAGTGGAAATATCACTTCCAGCCTGAGGGAATATGTGCTAAAATAAAAAAAAATAAAAAAACTAGTTTAGTTTAAATCTTCAATGGAGTATTAGGGTCTCACTATGAAAAAAATAAAATAAAATAATCAAAATAAAAACCATAATATTACAATAATAAAGTCATATCATGAGAGTAAAATCTTATGAGAAGAAAATGGAAATAATATGACAATAAAGTCACATTATTTCAAGAATAAAGTTATAATATTACAGAAATAAAATTGTAATCCTATGACTTTATACACAACATAACTGTGTTATGCATTATAGGCAAGTTCATTTTTGTTTGTTACTTTTATGTTGACAAATCATTTCACATCCATGTCCCTAAATAATATCCCATTAGTTAGTTCCTATTTGTAAAATACTACTTAAGACCACAAAAAAATCCCACAAGTAATTTCTCCCTGAAAGGTAAAAACACACTATCTCCATTTAATTTGCCTCTGATTCTTAGTTTACTGTTATTAAGTGTGGGAAATTATAAAAATTATTCTCCTAATTTTTATTAAGCTCCTTATTGTACCCAGGAAACTCTACTATGGCAAAGGTGCCAAATCGGCTACAACCAAATTATACATTACTTAAATCACAAGTGGGCAATGACAAAGTATCTTCATATCTCAAAAACAGCAACAACAAATAAAAAAGTCAAACAAAAGTATTAAAAACCACAATGTGAAAATTGAAATTAACATAAAAAACACATCCTAGAAAACACAACCTTTCTGAGACCAAAATATAAAACTCCAAAACATTTCCAACACTGAAT